TACCCCAGGCTTCTAGAATCAGAATCCCTGGGGGTGGACAGGTAGCACAGAGATGTATAAACAGTCCCTTTAGTTTAGATGCTGTTGAGAACTACTCACAGAGGAAGGCCCCAGGCCAGCAAGTACCAAATGTAAAGGGTGGCAGAAATACAATAGTGCAGCAGTTTGGATGTATAACATCCCTCACAGGCTGAAGTATTTGAACACTTTGTCACAAGTTGGTGGCCCTGTCTGGGAGGCCATGGAATCTTTAGGTACAGCCTTACTGAAGGAAGTATGTCAGTGAGGACAATCTTTGAGGGTTCATAGCTGTGCCCCACTTGCAGTGTTGTTCAAGATGTGCACTCAGCTTTCAGCTCCTGACCCCATGCCGCCATTGCTGCCATGCCTTCTTGTCCATGACAGACTTTCCTCTGAAGCCAGAAGCCAAAATAAACTCCTTCTTCCACAACTTGCCTTCGTCATGGTATTTTATCACAGCAACTGTAAAGTAACTAATATAAGTAGAAATGGGCAAATGTAGAGTGGCAGTTTAGTTAAAGTTCCACTTAAGCTGCAGTAGAACTTGTTGCCACTTGGATGGAAGACAGTCTCCCCTGGAGGACATAAGACCACTCTGTACTTTCATGGTCTGCCTAGCTGTACCTGGCTATGTTTTGTTAATAGATGTTAAATAAATACAGGAGATAAGTTGAAGACTATGCCACTACCCTGTCTGGGGTACCAGGTGATTTCCCTACTCTATAATTTTTTATTTACTTCAGAAAATAGAAAGTTTATAGATTTTAATGTATTTCTTTGAAAACTGACCATTTATAAAACAAGGAAACTAAATCCATTACTTTATTAATTTATATTTGCAAACATTCTTTTTCTTTTCCTTGTTCAGATGAGAGGGTCATTTTTGTTGTCCTTAAGGCTAATTACTTCTGCCCAAGATCTCTTCTGACTTGCTTAGGACTACCTTTTACATTCCTGTCTTTATTTCCAATGCTGCACATCTTGTGTACGCTTCTGTTTTAAGATGTCTTGACTGTATTACGTCTTTATTTCTTGACAGTCCCTCCTCTGCCCCTCTTATCAATGCTTGCTTGGATTTGCCACAGTATCCTCTCAACTGTTCTTTGGCATCTCTACAGTGTAACCATGGGGTGGTTCTTTGGTGATTCCCCAGCATTCTTAAGATAAAGTCTTTAAATGATTGTGAGGCCCTGTATGATCTGTCTTGTTTACCACAGTAGCCTCACTTGTAAGGTTTTCCTGAAGAGTAATGCTAGTATATGGCAATTCGTGGTATACCAGAGGTGCTATATAAATTAAGGTCAGTGCATGGTATGCATGGGTGTGAAATAAATTGAAGGCTCCTCCATCACTTCACTGAAACCCATTTTTATAGCTAAAGATGAGATTAACCGGGGGCAAGTGGCATGCCCTAATGCACATAGTTAGTGATAGGGCTGGACTATTTAAGCATATCTAGTTTAGATTACAGGCAGTTAAAATTCAGGAAAATACTGGATAAAACTTACCTTCTCCTTCGGTGGACTTAAGTCTTCACAGGGAAGAAAATGCATATTGGCAAAAAGACTTTTTTTTTTTTTCATTGACTTGCCTAGTTCTATCCCCCAAATGCTAAGTTGTATACTTATTCTGAATATTTAATATCTGCTTTATTGGTTTAGTATGTGATGATTCTTTCCTATCTTCAAAATAACATAATGACAGCCAAACCACAGTGCACAAGCACGATCATTAGTAGCTTGGCAAGTCTCTGGACACTAAGCTCTTCCTGCTCCTCCCAGATGACCGAATGCCCAGAGCAGAGCCTGGGCAGGCTGGTGTGGGGAAGAACCACGAAGTGTTTTGCAAAAGGAGAGTGAAAAAGAATTGTTTTTCCTTAAGTATATGCCTTCATTCAAGTTTGCCTTTTTATCAGACCTTTCAAATCACATGTGCTATGAGGACATACCTAAAAATGTTCTGGTCTGGCTAAGTTCTTCATGCTGATAATGGGAGATGGGAGCTGCCATACTTGGGGATGCTTTTTTTTTTTTTTTTAACAGTGGTGTTGAAAATTACAGTTTTAGCCATTTTTAGGGAGGTATCTGAACTTGTATAAATACTGTGCTTGGAGAATAGGTATTCGAAAGGAAACTGATACTTTTGTATCAGTCTGGGTCTTAATAGCTTATTAATTTATAGCAGTGCTAACAGTATCCAGCTCCAAGATAGCTGTCAATGATCCTCCAGGCCCTGTGGTCTCCCACACTGTGGCAGGTTTGCCTAGTATTACCTACAGAATATGGCAGCATGACATGGACTGTAGCCTGGGGTCACCCTGGAAGAAACCAGCTCCCACTCTGTAGGAAGCTACCAGATGGTGAGGTCCTGAAGCCACTTGCAAATAGCCATGAGAGTGAGCTGAGAAGCAGACCCTTCAGCCCCAGATGAACCATCAGGTGACTCCTACGCTGGTCCACAGCTTGGCTGTATCCTGAGAGACTCTAAGTGACGACCATCCCAGGGAAATGGCTCACAGACTCCTGATGCTTGCAAACTGAGAGGGATGTTAAATGCTAATCTGGGGATAATTTATTATGCTGCATAGACAGCTGAGGTATAGGACGAGGTGCTCACAAAACAGAATAGATTGTCCAGTGCAGTAATGTTTGTTTCACAGAATATTATAGTAGAGCGAGAAGGATAACTTTTCTATTGACCTGTATATCAAGAAATAACCAAGACTCAAACTCAGCTTTTTCTCTCTAGTTCTAAGCCCTTATACATTGGTATAGAGTGAATTTTTAATGTGAAGTTCACAGAGATTCTGTGTGGGGGAATTTCTGACCTTTTATGATCTTCCTGACTGGCTGCATATTTGTCGACACGTATGTTGTAATATATCCATAAAGCGTGTGTGTGTGTGCAACCTTGGGGCTTGTAACAGACATTATCCACCTTGCTTTGAGACAGGGTCTCTCACTGGCCTAGAATTTGCCAAGTAGATTAGGCTGGGTAGACAGCCCCAGGGATCTGCCTGTCTCTGCCTTCCGAGCACTGGGATTCCAAGTGTGTGCCACCACACCTGGCTTTTTCGGTGCTGGGGCTCAAGATCAGGACCTCATGCTTGCAGAGCAGACATTACCCTGAGCCCAACATCTTTCCGGCCCATCTTTTTTTTCGCCTTTCCCTCTCTCTTTCTCTTTTTGATTTTCACTGTTTTGCATTCTATGAACAGTTTCAATGCTCAGTTTGAGGGCATATTTCATAACTTGACTATTGAAAACAGTTTTCATAAAAGTCAGCTCTAACTGAGGAAAAGAAAAGGAAGTAGATGAAGACACAACCCAGCATGGCAACAACTACATTTAAATTCTATTGCAAGAGTAAATAAAGAACCATTTGCTCTTCCCCTTCACCCAGTTACTGAAGATGCAGCCAAAACTCATTAAAGGAATAACATCTGTGTACAATTTGTGATGCAAAGTCCATCCAGTGTTTAGTTGATTGGTAATGAATTCCGGGCATTGTCTCTGACACTTTCCACTGTCAGATGCAGGCTTGCGGTTTTATCTTTTCATATGATTTGTAGATGTTTGACCTATACTCAGGTTAAGGAAGGATGTGCAGTACCTTCTGAGATTTGGCACAGCTCTTTCCTAGGCCTCACTGCTGAGTCTTCAGTGCATATTCTTAAAGGAAGTGAGAAGTGGCCTTGCAGCAGCAGCCTGCCCACAAGATGGTGCTTACAGTCACCCTTCTGCACCTCAGGTCCTGCTAGAGCCTACAGCAGTATCTGGGGTGATGGATCAGTTGGTAAAGTGCTTGCCTTGCAACCATGAGGAACTGAGATTGGCATCCAGAAACCCACATAAAAATGCTGGTGTGATGGTGCCCACTTGTAATACCAGTACTGGGAAGAAAGAGTCAGGTGGATCCCTGGACTGTGCTGGCCAGCCAGCATGGCCTATTTGGAGAGTTTTAGGCCAATGAGAAATCTTGTTTCAAGAAAAAAAATGGACAGCACCTGAGGGAAAACACCCCCTAGCTTGTCTTCTAGCCTCAATGTGAATGTGCATACACATACACACATGCAGTGGGATCTCGCTATAAGGCCATGGGGATCAGGGTTTATCTGGGGAAGAAGACATTCTCTGATTGATGAATTTACCTTCTTTAATTCCAAAGCAGTGGCCCCACTCCTTCAAGGTGATGTGTTTGTCCTTGTTGGGGTCACACTCCTCAAAGAAGCGCGTTATACAGTGCTCCATGGGCACCAGGGAAGCTCGCAGAGGAGCAAGTTCGGAATGTGTCAAGATTCTGCAACAAGGTAAATGACAGTCTGTTAACTGAATGGCTTGTAGATGAAGATCTAAGTCTCAGGATCACCAAGAACATTATCTTTCCACAGATTACTCTGTACGCCAAATGAATAGTACACAGTGGAAAGCTGTGATGAAATAAACAACTCGTGGTGCCCATGGTTTCTTTCTTTGCTGTGAACTGTCTACCTTTCACTCCCAGTATCTAGATGTACACCCAACAATAATGCCTATGCAACCTGGTTCCTACCTGCTGGCCAGCCTTGATCGTACCAGACGTAGTACTTGACTCAAGATGGACTAATTAGATTATCTTGGGAATTTAGTATCAAGAATGAGAAGGAGTTTTTTTGTGGGAAACAGTTAATAAGTAAATTCAGGATGACAATTCAGGAGCTGTGGTATAGTGACCTTTGGTTATTTTCTAAGTAACTTTTAAATTAGATTCTTTCATTTATTTATTTTTGTTTTATGTATATGAGTGTTTTGCCTGCATGTAAGTAGACCCATGCATGCAATGCCCAAGAAGGCCAGAAGAAGACACTGGATGCCCTGGAGTTGGAGTTATAGACAGTTGTTAGTTGCCATGTGGGTGCTAGTAAGTGAACCCTTGTCCTCTGCAAGAGCAGCCAGTGCTCATAACCACTGAGCCATCTCTCCAGCTCCTAAATTAGATCCTTATCCATGATTGTTATTTAAATATTCTAAAATGGAACCTGGAAATTTCCCCAACTGTGTTTGTAGTTTGGCTTTACATAGAAATCAGAGTCCTAGTGATGGGAGATACAGGGTTCTTACCTGTCTGCAGGATGTTGGTCAAGTTCATTAAACTGCCAGTGCACAGGATACACGTACATGTGATAGTTTTTCTTAAAGTCCCTTAAGAGAAGTTCAATGGGATGGTCTCCAGCCAAGAGTCTCTTTTCATCTAGGTAGATTTTCTTGACCTGAGATTACGAATGGAAAAGACTGTCAGAGTATCAGATAAGTACACTGGAATTGCCACCAGTTAAACCTTATTTGAAGGGCAACAATAACATGATAGTGGAAATCATGCTCAGGACATGAGGCCTGGCTCAAATTAAATGCCTCCTAATCAATACAGCCTTTTTAAAATTTGTGGCTTTCAAAAAGAAATTTGTTTTGATTTTTTCTTTAAGTGAGTGTTTATCATATTACTTAAAACGTTGAGAAGGTTTTGGGCTAGGGAGATGGCTCAGTGGGTAAGAGTGCTTGTTGCAAAAGCATGAGGACATGAGTTCAGATCTCTAGAACCCACATAAAAACTCCGGGTCTGGCCACATGAGCCAGTAACCTAAGTCCTGGGGGCTGAGGGGCAGAGACAGGAATATCTCTGGGGCTTGCTGCATGGATGGAAGCAAAACAAAACGAAACCAAATAAGACAAACAAACAACCCAGTAAGCTCCAGGTACAGTGAGAGAGCCCATCTCAAGGAAACTCAAGGAAATAAGGTGAAGAGCAATAGGACACCCAATGTCCTCCTCTAGTCTCCACCCGCACATGCATGTACTAGTACATGAACCTGTACACATATGTGTACACACACATACACTGTACTCATACAGAAAGTTAAAAAAACTATGAGGATTTAATAAAAAGAGCCAACATTTTGAAGAGTTATCAGAAAGCCTTGTCCCTTCCCCAGCTGGCATACTTCGTTCCCAATTCTCTGTTCCATCCATGCCTGGCTCAGGTTAGACCTGGTTAGTCAGTGCTTGACTGCTTCTGTTGACACTCCTATTTCATACCTAGTGCTCCTTGAGGCTGTCTATGACAATGCATTAGGAAGGGCAGGCAGAAATTATCCATGAGACATGCATATGTGTCTCAGCTGTGGGGATCCTTGTTTCCACAGAGAGCCATGCAACAGAATGTCCACCCACTCCCATGAGCACATCTCCCCACTACCCTGTGTTATTAGCCATGAGCTTCCTCTGTGCCTCATCTCTCATCTGACTGGAGAAACTACTCATGAATATCCTCTAGCATTTGGACACACACCCTACTCACCACTGATTTTCCCATTTTTAGTCGGTTATTTTTGGAAACATCTACCATCTTCCACTGGTAGAGAGGACTCAAACTCACTTTCCCCTCTAGTTTCTTCTCCATTCCTCTTTACTCTTCTTTTAGCAGCACTTTTCAAAAGCATTGTTTACACCTGTGCCATCATCTTCCCTCCCTCCCTCCTTCCCTCCTTTCCTTCCTCCCTTCTTCCCTTCCTGCATCCTTTCTCTTTTCATTTCCTTTTTGGTTTTTCTCACACAAGTTCTTACTATTGGTCCAGGCTGGCCTTGATCTCACCATCCTCCGATATCTGCCCCAGAGTGCTGGGATTACAGGCTTGTGTCACCATGTTCAGATCCTATTCTTTTGTGAACCCTATCCACTTTGACTTTCCTCCCCCAGAAACAGCTCCAGTTGAGGTCAGCATCTGTGACCACCACATGCTAATCCATGACACACTTAATGCACATCTTCCTTGTTTAATCTTTCTTTACAATATGTTTTTATTAGACAAAGCCCATCTTATGCAAAGTTTCTGATGATTATATTTGCATATAGTTATCTATTCACACATATGTTTATATAAAATATATACATATGCACACACATATTTGCTTAGAGTAGTCTGTCTCTTTGCCACGAATGCCAACTTTTGAAGGCAGAAATTTTGTGTTCATTGCTATGTCTCTAGTACGTAGAATAATCTTGGTGCCTTGGATACATTAAATAACTATCTGATGAATGAATTTTCTATGGGAGCTTCTGGAATGAGTATTCTGTACTTTTAAATATTTTAAAAAATTTTTGTTTATTATATTTTATTACTTTTATGAGTGTATTGCCTGCATGTATGTAAGTGCACCCATGTTGTGCAATGTATGTGGTGGTCAGAAGAAGACACTGAATCTCCTGGAACTGGAATTATGGACAGTTGTAGCTGCCATGTGGGTGTTGAGAATCGAACCTGGGACCTCTGCAAGAACAGTCAGTGGTCCTGACCACTGGGCCATCTCTCCAGCCCTTGTACTTTTAAATCTTAACATGTTACTGACATTATGAGCAATCAGTTTCAGTTCTAGTAGTATCTGTATCTGGTCTAAGGGCAAAAATGTTTAGACTTAAATAATATGTTGGGCCTGCTATAGTGTAGACATAATGTCCCCCCCAAAGCCCATGAGTTAGAGGCTTAGTGCCCAGCCATGGCACTTTCAGGAGATGGTGGACTTTCAGGGCTTAATTGGAAGTTTCCTAGTCACATGGGGGCATGCCCTTGAAGGGGCTATTGAGACCTGGCACCTCTTCTTTCTTTCTTTGTTTCCTGGAACACCATGAGGTGAACACATACTCCCTGCTGCAATATACTGCCTCATCACAGGCCCCAAAACAACACAGCCAATATCAATCATAGCCTAGAACTTCCAAGATAAACATTTCCTCTTTCTAAGTTGCAATAGCTCAGATATTTGTTACAGTAACAGAAAGCTGATTAACACAGGACCTGACAACATAAATACTGAATTTCTTAACTTTGCTTAACCATGGCTTGCTGTAGGTGTAACAAAGAGCACTTTCCAGGCCACTGTCCCTGAAGTAGAAGGGGAGCAGTTTGGAAGTATCACAAAAGTTGTGGCAGGACTGGTGACCACTGCTAGAACGCTAATCCATGCAGGCTAAACAGATATGGAGAAACCGTGCAGGCTCCTGTGCAAGGCAGGCAGCTCCCACACACTCTTTTCCTCCGGTCCTGTGGACAGACACAGATGTAGCAGACCCTGAGTAACTTACTTTACTTCTCTGCTTCTCATTTAGATAGCCATCGTGCTTGGGGTTAGGTTCATAAAGCTGCATAAGAATATTCTTGAGCCAGTCTCTCATCCGCAGGGGAAACTGAGCCACTTCAAAGTCCGTACAAGCAGGGATAGCTGGGATAAGCAGAAAACGTCATGTGACCTTTGCACCGCACTTCCACCCTGTGCCAGTTCTCATCCCTAGAAGCTTAACACCTTCTGGAGACTGACAGAGCACCCGCACTGCAGCAGTGGTCCTTAACCTTGGTGGCACAATAGAACTTGCCTGGAGTATTAAAAAAACATCAAATGCCAGTTTTTTCCCCCTATCTTGGTTTTGTTTTACTGGGTTTTATTTTGGAGGGAGCGATCCTTTCTGTCTCAGCCTTCTAAGTGCTGGGATGGTAGGCTTATACTACCATGCTTGGCAAATGATAAGTTCTACTCAAAGAAATCATTATTTGATTATTTTGTGATAGAGTCTGAACATCAGAATGTTTTAAAAGATCTCAAAGTAATTTTGATGCAAATTAGGACCGAGAACTTGCGTTGTACAACCAGACCCCTGGAATTTAGAAGTGGAAGGCATGAGAGGTACTGATTAGAGGCACACAGAAAGGTAGAGCTTCGCCAGTCCTACAGAAACAAATAATGATCTATCTCTGGCTTGAAGAAGCCAAAGTTTATTTCTCCATATTACAAGTCCAACATGAGAAGCTGCCAAGCAGGCTCTGCTCACCACAGCCTCCCTGGGGCTCAAGTTCTGTGGCTACATCTCAACACAAGACTTCAGTTTGTAGCAAGGGGAGAAAGAACATGACAGCCTTCATGTGCTTCTGCCCAGAATGCTCATGGGTGATTTCGTTCATAATAGTGGACAAAGCAAGCCAATGACCACATCTAACAGGGGCCCAACAGGTTTGATCCTCTTGTGTGTTGTGCACAGAATGGGGAAAAGTGAAAATATGAGTGAACTCAACTGTGGAGAAATACTTATCACCATGGGGAGCCACACACAACTGAGAGCATCCTGGGGAAGGAAGATGACTTCAAAAACTTCTGGAAGAATGGAGTGTCATAAAGCTTCTTGGCAAAAGCTTAACTTAAATTGTAAGGAGGGTAAAGAAGTCAGAAAATTCCAATTTTTATATCTATATTAAGTATAGAACATTGTCGCAGTGTCTCTGAGCTTGCAGAGGAGGCACATTAGAATTGTCTAGGTTATTTTTAAAAATGGAAAAACAAAGCAGTGGTTCCAACCAAGTCCTGCTGAATTGGAATCTCCTGTGATTAAGGCTTGGGAATTCCATTTGTTTCCTGAGTTGATTTTACTTTCAGACTATTTTATAACTATATAAACTTTTCTGCTTGCATATATAGAATTCAGAGAGGCACAAATGACCCCAAATTCTCCAAGAAATAATATTTTCCACTAGTGTTAGTGGCTTACATTTGCAAGCTCCAAAGTAATCCAGCTGCAGTTGGTGTCCCTTTTTGGTCCCTTCTAGTTTGCATTTGGTAGCAAACAGATGACAGGAGCTTGCATAGGTCTGATTGTCAGTGCCACAAACCTAGGAAAGAGAAAGAAAGAGAAGTTGATGCTCATTGGAGAACACTATTTCTGAGAGCTCAGAGAATGTCTGGCAAAGGTGTACTTGGGTAGAGACTATTAAAATAGTCATTCTCTGATTTGGCACCAGAAAAATCAACTAAACTAAATCAATGATGACAATTTTGTTCCAGATAAGCTCAGTAGAAGGAAATTTGCAGATGTTCCAAGGATAGAATGAGTTTTAAAGGGAGTTCTACAACCCGAATACCACAATTATCTTTAATTTTTAAAAATTTGTATTTGATGTGCATGAATGTTTTGCCTGCTTGTGTGTAAGTGGGCCCATGCATGCAACGCCTGCAGAAGCCAGAAGAGGGCTTTAGATCCCCTGGAACTGAGTTACAGATGGTTGTTAGTTGCCATGTGGGGTGCTGGGAACCAAACCAAAATCTTCTGTAAGAGCAGCCGGTGCTTTTAATCACTGAGCCATCTCTTCAGCCCCTCCCTACTATTACCTTTTTAAAAAGTTTTATTTTTTTGGGGGGGGGTCTTTTTGAGACAGGGTCTCCCTGTAGCCCCAGCTGTCCTGGAACTCACTATGTAGACCAGGCTGGCCTTGAACTCACAGAGATCTGCCTGCCTCTGCCTCCCAAGAGCTGGGATTAAAGGTGTGCGCCACCACGCCCGGCATTTAAATTTTAGTTTGTTCATGTGTTGTGTGTCAGATGTGTGTGTGTTTTCCTATGTGTGGTGCATGTGTGGATGTGTGCCTGAGACTGATGTTGGGAATCTTTGATCACTCTCCATCTTATTCCTTGAGGCGGTGCCTCTCAGTTGAACCCAGGGTTCACCAGGGCTAATCTAGTTAGCACGCTCCGGGAAACACTAATCTCTGCCTTCCAAGTAGCTGGAATTATGGGTAGGCTACCCCTCCCACCCAGCATCTGCATGGGTGCTGGAGATCTGAGCTCCAGTTCTTACACTTGCATGGCAAATTGAGCCATCCCCTGAGCTCAACTATGAACTTTTCATAGCACAGTTGAAATACTTTGTCTGATATGCGTTCCTGCTCAGTTTTACTTCAAATATTAGATAACCTGTTCATCTACTTAAAAAAATTAGACTCCATTGAAAACTATTTCCACTTAAGACATGAGATTTTTAAGGACTATTCTGCTGAATACTTACTTGGTCAAGGATTTTTGCTGGAGGACAAGTCTCTGGATCTTGGCAAACACAGTGGGGTTTCCCCTGTTGATCTGCCTTGCAAGTGTGCCCCCTTTTACACTGGAAGTTCACACAAGAATCTAACAGGAAGGTTTGGAAAGGGAACATAGGCAAAGAGAAATTGTATATGTAAATATAATCATCCAGACAGCTTCATTTTCATTAATGACAGAAAATTCAGAACATTTGAAAGCAGGATGCTTTAAAAAAATCACTTTAATTGATGTGCTGATTTCCAGATGGAATCTCTGCTATTCGTCTTTTGCATAGGATTTTAGGTATATTCTTGCAACTGACTGGATCGAGATGTAAAGGAACAAACAGCTCTTCTTGATTTTCCTGAGACAGAGTGTGAAGTACATAAAATGATGTGCAAAGTGGTCAGAGGTTAAACAAGCCAAGAGAATTTAATTTTGTGGAAATTAAAAAGGATTGTGACGAGGATAGGAGAGACTTGAGAATAAATAGTAGAATTAATTCTCCTCAGAAGCAAAAGGATATAGGGAAAAATAATTCTAGCTTTGTACTAAAATCTCAACAGAGCTTTCAGTTTGTAAACACATTGATTCACAGTTTATCAAATATGCACAAGAAATACCAACACTTTATGGGAACATTTCCTTGAGGGGTCTGGAGGGGGGATTTCTGTGTCCTAAAGAAAGGCAAATTCCATCTCTTCCTGATACAGTCACAGTTTGTATAGCACATACTCACCCATACTATGCTGCTTCCCATTGCCTTCATGTAAAGTTCCATCTTCATTTGATGAGCTCTCAGCTTTCTTGGCCTTTAAAATAACAAGAGCAGAATTTCAGGTCTAGTAAGAAGAGAGCAGTTATTTGGTTTCTATTTGACTGTAAGTATCTACACAGAGATTTCCATGCTTAAATTAATGTTAGGCTGAACTAGGAAAGCTAGCTGCAACTGTGGGAGGGAAATAGTAACCCCTGGAGATCAAGAATCACTCTATATGAGTCAGGATCTGGGAAAACACAATCTGTGTAGTATCACCTTGAGATTCTGTAGTTAAGACAGGATCACACTATTTATCTCTATGAAAATGTGGATAAAATTTTCTTAGCAAGTTTAAACAATTTACTTACTTACTTTATTTATTTATTTATTATGTATATGAGTGTTTTGTCTACATGTTTGTAAGTGCATCATGTACATGCAGTTCACACAGAGGCCAGAAGAGGACATCAAATCCCCCGGAATTGGAGTTACAGATCGTTGTTAGCTGCCACATGGATGCTAGGAACTGAACCTTGCTCTTCTGGAGAGCAGCCAGTGCTCTTAATCTCAGAGCTGTTTCTCCAGTCCCTCTTAGCAGGTTTTAAGGTATAAGAAAGTTTGTACCTTAGAATGACAGGAGAGTTCTCAGTATTTGAGACTATTTGCTCACCAAAACTGTGCCAATTCTACCTCATGGGAGACTGTTGAGGTTTTGCATGAAAGCCTCAGGTGATTAAGCAGCTAAATTAAAAATAGCTTCCTCTTGCTCTCTACTGTAATTTTCAGATTTACATTTTGGTATGTATTACTTAATATAACGGTACTTTTATTTTTATAGCTAATCCAACAAACATTGCTGGCTCTCTGATTAGGTTAGAGGCATTTTGATAGACATTGATGATTCAGTGGGGACTCAACGTGACATCTGCTTTCAAGACAGTAGAGTCACAGCTGTGAATGTCTCCCACTCTTTGGGTCTGTCAGAATTTTCCAGCTATCTATAGGGATTTCCAACTTAACTATCTGTATTTCTGAACCCACTAAGCCATAGAAATCTACTTGGTCTGTTCAAAGGACAGACTGGATATGTTGGGGGGGTGGGTAAATATTTCTTTAACAAGTCTCAGTCAAACTAACTGCCCCAGCTCCCTTACTCCAAAAGGGATAATCTTCAGGAATATTTTTAGGTGCTTTTAGTGAAGTTCCTTTTTATGAGCTTTTCTTCCTTCCCTATATAATTTCTGTATTTCTCTACCATTTCCTGTACTTCTCAAATAACTGTCACTCAAATCCAAGGTCTGCTTCTAGGGGAATCTAAATAAAGTGTGTGTTCTCAATCTAATGATAGAGATGGACAGAAAAATAAATAATTGTGCATGTTAAGCCTCCATAATCTGAGTGCTTGAAACTTGAGTGTTCCAAAATCCGAAAACTTCTGGGGCATTGACATGGCACCATAAATAGAGGATTTGACACCTGACCTCATATAGTGGGCCACAGTAAAACACAGACACATTAAAATATTGCATAAAATTATCCTTACATTATGTATAGAGAATGGATATGGAACAAATGAATTTCATGCATAAACATGGGCTCTAGTTTCAAGACATCTCGTTACATATGCACATGTTCCAAAATTGAAAAAATGAGATCTGCAACACTTCTGGTCTTAATCACCCCAGATAAAGGATGCTCAGCCTGGCCCTTTAGTAATGTACCATGAGAGCACAGTGAAGAGTTGTGACTATTTGTTAACTGACTTCATTGTTAGTGACCTCACCCCTTGGTGGTCTCCAGTTTCACTCGTATCACCATTCTCAACCTCATCTGTTGCTTCCTCACCATATTTGAGGTAATAGGAAAGAGAATGCATTCTTTCAGCATCCAGGAATTCCTGGCTTGGCATGAAGTAGTCATCACTTGAACTGTGCTTGGAGCCATCATTACCCCCTTCATCAGCCCCATGATTTCTGGGCGTGATGGTACCATCATCAGTAGGTTCTACCAAAACGCCCTTTTCGTCCATGTCCTTCTGGTCACCAGTAACTTCAAGGCCAGTTTTCCCTTCTTGGCTCTGCTGTTCAGTATGTTGAATGTGTTTCTTGCTGCTTGATGCACTGTCCTCTTTCACTTCTGCATTGGAGTCATCCTCTTCCTCTTGGTTTTCTTGCTCAGAGCCAATCTTTTGCATCTTGCTTATTTGAGTTGGCTGATTGGACTCTTCCAAGATAGCATCAGATTGGTCACCGTCTTCCTCCTGCTTGCTGTTAGAATGCTCCTTGGGGAGTTCTTCCTTGTCTTGGTTATCACTGGGAATGGCAGCTTCTCCTGGCCCTTTTTCCTCTTCTTCTCCGTTAGCAATACCTGGATCCTGCTCTTGGCTTTCTTCATCCATTAGGTGTTGGCTGTGTGTACTGTTCGTGTTCAGCTGATGTGAGTCATTTACAGGTTGTTCTTGGCTTTCCTCTTCCTTTGTGATGTTTTCATTTTGGTTAGGACCCACAAAGGAGCTAACAGCAGCAGTGGAGAAATCTGTGTTCTCTGGGAGGTTCTTCTGTTGCGGCTCACTTGCGTCTTCCTTTAGATCCAATGTACCTTCAGTTGGTGCATACTCCAAATTCACACTTAAATCACCATCGATGTCCTCCTGATCCTTCAGTCCCAGCTCATGGCTATACGTGTTGTCCTGTTCTGATGACTGTTCATGAGTTTCCTCTTCCAACTTTAGTACTGAAGGTTTATCAGCCTTAAAAGAACAAAAGTTTATTCTTGAAACAAATGATATGGCAATTCTTTATTAATCACTACTAAGCAAATAAGAACCTTCCTTCTTTTTCCTCAAACATTATCATGTAAATGTACTTGTGACGTTCTTCACATTCTAAACTCACAGGTTTAACCCGATTTTGAATTTTGTGAAGTGAAATCATTAATGCAGCACCTTAACTCAGGGAGTATCGACATTATTCATCATAATATCCAGTGTTTACAGATGGCTCATGCGATTTTATGCTTTAAAAAATTGAACTGAGAAATGAATACAGTAAACCATTGAGCATGCTTTGATACTGAGTTCTTTGGAGCAATAAAAAGACGATGTTAGTATAATGATGCTACTTTTACCTTATCGTTCGGGTGGTTTTCTGTGGCTCCTGCAGCTTCCGTTTCATTTTCTGCAGTTTCAACCCTTATGACAGGGACTGCGGTGTCATCAGGTGTCACCAGTGTTTCAGCAGTTGGATTGTAATTGTCAGATAGAAATACTGTCTTTGTCTGAAAAAGTCGAGACTTTGTGTTATTAATATATAGATGCCAATTTAAAAATACTAGCTATACTTGTTATCATTATTAGCAGTATCAGGATGCTTTACTCATAACAACAATGAAAGATGGGTCTCTACAATTTTCTAGGATACAAGCAAATGCCTGCAATATGATGATAAGTGAAAGCAGAATTAGAGTCACATTTATGAAAAGCTTTTATACAAAGACTGGGTGAAAAGAGCACAGGAAAGATTTCAATAATGGTTATCTGTGCATTTTGGAATTTTCAAACTTCTACAAAGTATCCATAGTTCATAATTTTGAAAATTGTTATTTAGCCCAAGGTTGAAGTAAAACAAAATGATTCATGGCATATAGTATTGTACAACACAAGCTGCACTTAAGTTCTCACCGATAATGAACAGAAAAGGTTATAAAACTTGTATTAAATACTCATTTAGTTTCTTGACACCATTGTCCTTAATATGCATCAGGAAATCTTTAAATAAAAAGCAGTTTAATTTAAAACTAAGTCAAAGATTGTGTAAGACAGGCATGAAGACTGGTAGGCAAATCAGGTGTGAAGCGTGATTCTTGCAAGACTGATGCTGGTGAACAGCTGGGCTGGGAGGTATGATAGTTCGAAAGCTGAATAACTGACCTTGGAGGGCAAGCTCCCTTCAGACCTTGACTACTGCTTACTTTCTATTGTGGCTTGACAGGTTGTTAAGTTTAATCCTGCCGCCTTTGTGTAAAGTGAGCAGAAACGTGGAGACGGTGTTAATGTGCATAAACTATTTTGTAAATTTTAAGGTGTTCTTAAGCTAAAATTACTCTTTCTGACAGTAGTATTTCATGATGATAAACTATCAACTGTCTCATGTCTGAAGAAGGTATTTGTTATATGCTTTATGATCGATGGAGATCCTGTGGGTATGTAGTAGACATGTCCAGGTATAAGTATAAAGCTCAGACTCTATGTGGAACTCTTTTGTACTCCACCAGCAGGTCTGTAGTACTGATGGTGTCTACAAAGAAAGCCATGTGGGACAGGATATGTTTTAGATTTAGTTGCTCTTTTGCATCTTCTTTTTCAACTAAGAGGATTACTAGTTTGATAAAGTTTTGAAAGAGGCTGTAAAGGAAAAGGAAAAAAAGAAAGCATGGAGCCTGTTTGGTAAGCCCCTTCCATAGGGTATCATAGCAAGTAATGGAAGGGGACATGTTCGGCTTGTTAGGGGCGGATGATCTCCTTCCCTTTCTCCCCTGTACCACTTTATTCCCCTGCACCCCTCGCCCCAGGAAGTGCACAGAAATATGGCAGCTCATCTTCTTTAGAAACATCTGGTAGTGGTAGTTAAAATTCTGCTTTACCATTATGCCCACATCTGTATTTATTTCTTGTGCTGCCTTGGAAATCAATTTGGAATCACTCATCTATATAGAATAAATCACCCATCTATACAGAGAATTCAAACAGGCTTGGAAAATGCTATGAGATTTTAAATTGGCCAATCCTGTGAGAAGATATTTAGCTTCTCAGCATTTGGCTGGGTCTGCCTATAACAAATTGCCCTAGAAAGGAAACATCTGGCATGTGTCTGCATGTGGGTGTGTCACTCAAACATTTGGTTCAAAGACACTTTTGACGCTTGTTTACAAAACTGCAACCATGACCATTCCAAAGGCAAAACATATTTTCCAGAGAAAACAATGTTCTGTGGGAACTCCTTTCTGTGTTAATCTGTCTGTCCTACTCTTTTGATTTCAGAGCACAATGTATAACATCGTCAGCTGGACTAGCTCCACACAAGATAAGCACGATTCTTCGGGTTCATCATAAATTCTCTTTTCCAGGAACTGCTTGGTCAGGGAGGCATGGAGTTTGTTTTTGCTGATACAGATGTCCAGAACTAGTTCGGATTCATGCAAAAGCAATGACAGAATTTTACAGTAGAGAGGAAGGGACAATAGAGAAATTTCTTGTCTATCTAAAGGAGGTTTATTCTTCCACTGAACGAAGAAGAAAAATTGACACAAACCCCTTGGTTTAATTAGGATGACATGAGTCATTTGTGAGACTTGTGAAATAATCATAAGGTTGTGGCTCCATTTTAAAATAAAATTTTTAGGTTGCACTGAAGCTGCTGACATGGGCTCCAGCTATTTGACCTGTAAGCAGCAGCTTTTTGTATATGTGTAGTAAATTTATGGTGGTGGGACCAGTGTATCTGACCAGAAAATAGAAAATGCTCTACTCCTGTCTACTTTCAGTACATTTTCTTGGACAGCCTCCCACAGATGATGTAAAGGCATCCAATGATCACCACAGCATTTACAGTCCTACACACTGAATCTCTCAGCTAGCACACATTTAATCTTGAAGAAAATACTGGAGGAATGTAGCTATGTACTCTGTGTTAAATTCTTTACTTTTTTCACAGCAATGTAATGGGATCCGTAGGTTAGTGTATTTCTTTTTGGCCATTTTGTTTGGAGGTATACTCTATGGTTAATAAGCTGATAGTCAACATACTTTCTGCATATATATATGTATATATATAATTTTATAGAGCCAACTAGTTCTGAAAAAAATATTTTTAAAAGTATATTGTCTTGATTTTTTTCTTTTTACTTATGCATTCACTTCTTGGACAATAATGTGATTATAATAAAAAAATTATATAAAAGAACTTTAGTTTGGTGGGGGTGTCTTTGGGGTTGGGTCTCACTTGACTAGTTGTGGAACTTGGGATGGATCCTCCTGCCTCAGCATCTCAAGTGCTCCACCATGCAAGGACCATGAACATTCTCTTTTAAATGGAGAGTTTCTAAACGAAGCCACAAGGGAGAGGTGTAAGAGCAGAAGACAGAAAACTTACCGGGATTGCAGCTGTAGTTCCCAAGATGTATAGGAACAAAAGCAGCGTCTTCATGCTTTCTAGACCTGTGAGTCAAGAAGACAACGTCAGTGATTGTGAAAGTTTCCTCAAGAAAGGGTACATTATCTTATGAAGCATAGTTTGATATTGTCTATTTTATTTAGAAGTGGCTATTATTTTAGTGGTCTCACATATCTGAAAAGGTGGATAAGTGTCAATTCTTACCTAATTTTGTCCCTGGAAAGATGGAGCCTTGATATTTTTTTCCCTTTACCATGAGAAAAACCATATACTGCCAAGAGACCTCCTTCTGACTCCAACCCTGTCTCAGAGACCTTGAGCAAGTCACTCACCCTGTCTCAGGTACAGTTTTCTCACTTGATGAGCACTGAGGAGGGATGATCCTCTAGACCTGGTGCTTTGGGGTTATGAAGTTAAAAATAATTCTGTGAATTTCATGATCTCTCAAATGCTGCTCTTTTCTCAAAAATATATTCTGACTATTGTATCAGTAGTATTTTATATACAGAATTTAGAGCAACTACATAAGATAAATTTAATATAAATGTAAGTTTAGTAAATTTAGAATAAATATACAAGGTCTCTATTATTGATGATAGTTGGAAGATATTTTGTTCTCAGTGGATGCTAATTGTAAAGAATTGTTGAAAAATGCAGTTTCTTTTCTCTATATTTCAAATTTTAATATTTAAAATGATGCAAAAACTGGGGCTGGAGAAATGGCTCAGTGGTTAAGAGCACTGGCTGCCCTTGCAGAAGACCCATGTTGGGTTCCTAGCACCCACATGGTGGCTAAGAACCATCCATAGATCCAATTCGAGCTTTGCATGACACAGGTGCACTTAGAAGCAGGCAAAAAACTCATATGCATAAAAATAAAAATAAATAAGTAAAATTATGTGAAAACTACATGTGATGGCATAATCTCAGTAAACCACTGGTAAATATTTGCTTGTCTAATGTTAAAAAATAAGGAGAAGGCTTAACTTTGGAGAGAAAGGATTTTTTATTCTTTAAGATAAAAAGAAGAAACGTTTAAGTATATATGGAGGCTCCAGTAATATCACTTCATTAAGAAGACTGTAATTATGCCTTCTTTACCTTCCAAAGCATTCATAGTATTTTGGCAAACACTAAATGCTACCTAGAGTAAGTTACTTAAATTCTCTAAACTGCATCTCTTGAATGGGAATAATTCCTTCAGTGTCACATGGAGTCACTGACATGGGAAGCTCTCTGTAGACTCGTAGGGATCACACACAATGTAGCTGTTAGACTCTGTTGTGCCTGCTGCATAGCAATCTTATTCTGTTTTGTATGGTTTGATAGCATGATAATAAGCATGTCTTAAATTTGGCCTCACTTTTTCTCCTTTCTCCTTCCATCCTTTCTTCCTGGAGATGGTTTTAAGCTGCCTATGAGTCCTAGTTTCAAAGTGTATTTACACTTGGTTTGCTTATTGAAAACAAACATGTAGGGGCTAGAGAGATGGTTCAGTGGTTAAGAGCACTGATTGCTTTTGCAGAGGCCCTAGGTTTGATTCCCAGCACCCACATGGTGGCTAACAACCATCTATAACTCCAGTTCCAGGGGATCTGATGCCTTCCTCTGACTTCTGTGGGCACTGCATGACATGGGTGCACTTATACACATGCAGACAATACACTCACATACATAAAATAAAAATAATAAACAAAAAAATCTATATGATAATTTATATCCTAGGTTTCTTTCACATGCAGGCAATCTGTACTTGGGAGATAAGGGTATTCTTGAGTTCAAGTCTTTCTAGTCTCAGGTGAGAGATATTTTCATGTTGGCTTAACCTAAAAGAGCTATCTGGGAGCTGAGAACTGGGGCAATCCTTCCATAGCTGTAGGGAGACATTTAAAGGCATTGAACAAGTACAGAGTTTGCATGTAAATTTAGGTGGCTAGTAGTCCAGACTTTGTGACAGCCCATCACTTACTGCATGGGTCACTATTATTCACCCAAGTGGAACTACTGTTTCACAAGATGGAACTGCTTTTTAGGATATTTTGCTTATTGTCATTTGGAAAATTAAAATAGAATTTGGACAGAATATGGCAATGTCATTTAGAACAATTCAAGCAGGAGCGCACGTCCAGTTTCCATGATAAAGAAGATGCCTATAGTAAACGTCTAAAGGCAAGAGCTTGTGGGACAACACAGCATCTAGAATTTAGAAGATGTAGAGTTTTCTGTTGTGTTCTACTTTGTCCTTCATATAATTCACTGGGCATTTTGTCTCATAAAGCTAACCGTACTTGTCACACATTAAGTAAAACAATTTCATGGTCTTCAGACTTTTATTTGAATGTGCTGATTTGTATAAATAAGACAGAGTGGGGAACGTTCCCGGGAAATGAGATATTTTGAAAACAACTGTAATACTGAAGATTCAGGGAGGCTCAATTCGCCGATGCTGCAAAGTACTTTGAAAATGAAAACCATAATGTTCTTGCTCAGTGTGATGAATACTGTTTATTCTTGGATAAGTAGAAAGTCATTTATTTTGAGACATTCAGACATGGTGTGCTATCTCTACAAAGTGCAGATTGTTAGTGTTCAGAAAGAACAAATAAAACTCTAGATGAAGAGAGACAAAATTTTGAATATGTGGAATTGTATTTGATGACAGACTAAATATGTGCCATTGATGTGAACTTAGATGAAAGTTCTTTCTCCAATGAACAAGCTTGTTCAAAGCAGTATACCTGAGAGAACACTTGGTGTGGAATGGGAATGTCTGAGTTCCAGACCTCAGCTGCCTTTCATTAGCTCAGAGATTAAAAAAAAATTATTACTTTTATGTGTATGTGTGTATTGCCTGCATGTAGGGAAGTGCACTCGTGTCATGCAATGCCCGTGGGGTACAGAAGAGGCTGTCAGATACCCTGGAACTGGAATTATGGACAGTTGTTAGCTGCCATGTGGGTGCTGGAATTCAAACCCTGGTCTTCTGCAAGAACATTCAGTGTTCTTAACCACTGTAGCTCAGAAATTTTGATCAAGTCTTTGTTTCCTACCTACAAAACAGAGAAAGAAATAGTCTTTCTGATTTATCTTCTGGGGCTGTTTTGAGACTCAAATGAGATCATCTAGACATTTAGCAATTCAATGAAGTGGGAGAAACTGCCAATTCTTGAAACACTCCACAGCAGAAAATAACTCAATAACACCATTCATTAATAATTCACAGAGATTTTAAATCATCTTGGTACTAAGTGTCCCCAAAATCTTTCTTTCCTTCATACCAGTGTTTATTTTCATGAATCTAGAGAGGCTGAAGATGAGGGATGGTAGAGTGTCTTTTCCTTCTGTTAGGAGCTTCTAGGAAAGCTTCAGCTGATACATAAAAGGATGCCAGCAAGGCTGCAGGCTATAGGTAAGACCTTTCTAGGTAAGACCAGTATTTACAATATCAAATGTCTAGAGTTCTTCTATTAGTTAACCAACATGCCATTCAAACTAATATCCTGATGGAACATTTGGTATAGCAGAAATAAATGTCCTAAGAACCAAAACTCAAGAAATATCTACTCTGTTCTAACTGATGGTGTCTTGAGACAACGTCATACATTTCCCTATGTATAAACATTGCAGTAAAGATGCTGTAAATTCTTTGCTACTACCCTCATTGATGCAGTCTTATTTTCCTTTCCTCAAAACTGGGCTGTCTTTGGTGACTTACTAGACCAAGTGGTTGAGGTAGAAGCAATATTCCAGACTTCTGAGTCCAGGTCACAGAAGCCTTGGAGTTTTTAATCTTGCTCTCTTGGAACATTTGTTTTGGGAGCCCTGAGCCACTGTAACAAACTGTCATGCCACAGAAGAAAGACACCATTGAACAGTCCCTGCTGACGTCAGATTTCCATGTGTCCTTGATAGAGCACAGGCCATGTAAGTGAAGCTCCTTTGCAGGTGAGTCCTCCTGAGTGATCTCACCAAATTCCCGACCCACAAAATCTTGAGACATTCTATAAAGGCTATTGCTTTGGATCAGTGAATGAGTATCCAGCAATAGATGACTAAAGGAGCAGTCAACCCTCTTAGTAGTCTTATTTACAACCCTCTTAGTAGGCTCATTTGTATTCACCAGTGTCTTATTTTACTGAGAAAGTATCTTCTTATCACTCACTTTAACAGTAGCTAATGTTATATGAAAGGTAACATGGTAAGCACTTCCCATATGTACTACTCATGTGTTCCCACATGTGACCTCACCTCCATTCTTTAGTAGTATTCACCCACTGAAAACTTCCTGGACAATATGCAGTTTTGCCAGTATGGAAATCAAAGGACACCCCCAAAGGGTACTTTTCAAGGACATCCTCAAAGCTCCATTTCTCTTGCTCAGAATAAATTAGTACACCCCCCCTCTTCTAAGTCGTGTTATTGAGGGATTACTTTAATTATATTTGGAGGATCCCACAGGCTTCTCAAGGCAGGACTATGCAACAACCACCGTGCCACACCTCTTCATCATTCCTTTCAGAGATCCTCCTCTTACTATACCACTTGCTAATCTCCCCATGTCTTTGTTCAGCATTCCGTAAGATACGAACCCACAGAGCAATTCTTTATACCTTTTCCCTCAAGCATTTCCTTCCACAAAGCCCCCATCTCCATCACTCTCCACCCCATTGGGTAACGGGGGAAATTATTTTGGTCGTAGTTATTCTTTCTCAATTTTTGTACAGTAGCCATCTTTTACTTTCTCTTTCTCTGCAAATGCAGGGTTTTCTCATTTTCACATTTATTCCCCCCACCCCCCAGAATTTCTGTGTATTCTTCAGGATCTTGACAATTAGTATGGTTGGGATAAATAGAGCAGAAAGCTAAGAAGTGCAAGTTTCAGAGTCCTCATTTGTGCAGGAGCCACACGAAATTCTGTACCTGATTCTGACTCCTCTGTTTTTAATACACACTTGTACAAACTCCCAGCTTTATGAATCATATGTCTCCTCTGGATGGTTCCTCTCAAGGCCTATGGTATTTGTATTTGTACTTCAGGGCTTAA